CCTCTCTCTCTCTCTCTCTCTCTGTGTGTGTGCGTGTCTCTCTCTGTGTCTCTCTCTCTTTCTGTGTCTCTCTCTGTCTCCGAGTGTTTTTTTGTTCTGCCTGTCTCCTTTGTTTTTCTTAAATTAATTCTTTCATCCCTTGTCATCATCCTTCCCTCTTGTCTTACCCTGTCCTGGTCGTGTCGCTATATTCTTTGGTAAGCAAATTTGGTAGGTAAGACAGGGACACGACATTCAGTTTCAAAGTGAACACAGACGAGATATCCTAGGTTGGACTCTCCAAGTGTTGACAGCTGATTGAATAGGCCGTACATTTTTTTGTAGTGTTAAAACCGGCGAAAATTTGAGTCGTTATTTCAGTTCATATATTCCATTTCTTATATCGCCAAAGATTTCAACACTTTCATTAATGACATCTCCTTCCCATTTGCAATCTACTCTCTGAAAATGTACAGGTTAATGGCTTTTTTTGCTTGGTTCGCCAGTCGCTAACTCACCTTCAAAATAATCTAAATTGTGTTGATGAGGGCTTAAAAACACCTACGTTAAAAAGAAAATCACTTTAACGTTTTTGGCTTCTTTCCCGAATGTAATCTCTTTCATTTTCTTCCAGCGTTGTTTCATCGAAGCAAATAATGAATGCTTAAATCTTTTAGCAAGAATGTTCGCTTCATTTTACTTTATCTGTCCTCTTTTTTCGCTAGATGTAGAGGGAAGGTGCGATTTTCGGTCAAGGAAAAAGCGGGCGACTTTTGCCGTTGATATGTTATTCTTTTGAAGGATCTTTTTCGAGAATATTCAGACAAAACCGCTCGTTTTTCCACCTCTTGGGTATTCGGAGGGCGTCACTGGTAGTTCATTCATTTTTCTTTCCCTCTGTTGTTTCCGTCTGTCTGTCTTGGTTTATATTCCCTGTATTACATAATCATTAATGAGGCGATGTGCTTTTAACTTTTCTCAAACTTAAGATTAAAAAACTCAAAACTTTCTTCCTCCCCTCCCCATCCTAGCGATTCCTCCATCTTACCTCACATCAAACTAGGTTGGGACATCAGAGATTCCTGCTGGTACTCTGCCATCGCGCTAGAGAATAGTATTGACTTCATCAAGGACGCCATTGCCAGTCAGAGCAACAGCAACAGCAACAGCAACAACCACAACATCAACCTCAACAGCAATAGCAACAGCAATAGCGACAGAAACAGCCGTGGAGATACCAGGGCGGACGTATCGGACACTAACTCCAACAACAGCTTTGTACAATCGACCTCGGCGACCGTTTCACTTAAGCCTGCTCAGTCTACTCCCAACAGCTTGTCTTCTAGCCCGGCCTCTGGGGGTCACTCACAACTAGTTCACTCACCAGTGGATCACACACCACTGACCGTCAGCTCAACAACACCGATATGCAGAGACGTCAAACACTTGAAGCCTATCGCCGGACTGGTCGGCCCTGGCTCAAGTGAAGCCACAATACAGGTTGGTCGACAACTGGAATACTGAAACCTTGTAGTTAATCTATTAATCGATATTGGCAATTAAAAAAAACCCCAAAAGCAAAACAGAAAACAAACAAGCAAACAAACAAACAAACAAAACCCCCAACGAAACGGTACAAGTTTTTGGTTGTCTATAACATTTAGGTCTAGTCTTTTGAGTCTTTACGCTTCATTTTAAAGTCTCAAACAGTTGTTTTATAACATGCCCTATTTTTAGAGTACTTAGTACACGTATTACTCACGTGACAGGAAGCCTAACGACTCAAAAGACCATATTTATTTGCTTATCCAAACAGTGGTGCCCTTTCTCAAATCTCCCTTTTATATTTCGATTTCTATTCTAGACAGACGAGTATTTTTTTCGTCAAAAGCAAGGCAAATGAACAAGCTTGAAGATTGATATTATACTACATGTAATCGCTCCATTTATTCAAAACTGACGATGGCTTGATTCCATAGCGTCATGACACATGATATAATGTCCTTGTCTTAAAACGCCATCATCATGAAAAATGTGTCTTTGTCTTCATTAATTTCTCTTCTCCTTATTCCCCTTTAATTACGTCAAGTTCAATTTTGTTCATACTTCGTTTTCAAGTCTGGTAATGCCGCTGTCCTTCGGCACATCTCTCTATCGTTTTTTTTTACCTGAGTGTTTTTACGCCTTTATGGACACAACTCTGTCTTGGCCTGTCTGTCTGTCTGTCTGTCTGTCTGTCTGTCTGTCTGTCTGTCTGTCTGTCTGTCTGTCATCTCTGTCTCTCTCTCTCTCTGTCTCTCTCTGTCTCTCTCTATCTCTATCTCTCTCTATCTCTCTCTCTCTCTCTCTCTCTCTCTCTCTCTCTCTCTCTCTCTCTCTCTCTTCAGTCTCATTAAAACTGAATTGATCTGATACCTAAAAACAGTATGCCTAGTTATTTTTTAAATTTATTTTTCTTTTGTTCAGGTGCAGAATTTGCTGCAGATTTTCAACATCCCCCAGATCGGGTACTCGGCCACCAGCATGGACCTGAGTGACAAAAGCCACTATAAATATTTCCTCCGTGTCGTTCCCCCGGACCGCTACCAGGCACAGGCCATGGTGGACCTTGTCGTCCACTTCAACTGGACCTACATCTCTGTCGTGCACTCTGACGGTAAGACGCAATGAGTCCCCGAGTAGTGGCTGGAGCCTTCTCTTATCGATTTTAGGACCGTCGAGGGATCTTTAATGTGCGCAACTTGCACATGGGACCTCCGAAGTTTTTTCGCCCTTATCTGTGGAGGCTCAGCGTTTGATCTTACCTACCCTAAGATCAGAGGTGTAGCTGAAAGACAGTAGTAAGGGGAGCCAAGGAGTAGTACTAGTAGTAAAAAGGCAGCAGAATGATTCAGGAGCCCAGAGGAGGGGGCAAAGGGGAGAGGGGAAATGGAAAAAAGAGGGGGGGGATGAAAGTGGAGAAGAAAGCAGACGACAGAGTGCAAGTAAGGAGGTGAAAGGAAAACATTTTTACAGAAGAATATTTTCCATCGCTGTCAAGATTCGAGCTCTGGACTTACTGGGTGAGGAGCTAACACCATATCTCTAGACCACGAGAGCCCCCACAGATCGTTTAGGGCAACTTTCTGTAAGAACTTCCGTAAACAGAGAACACAAATATCGATTTTTTCCTGCTGGGAACAATCAATAGATACGTGGAACTCATCTCGTGTTTTCTACGATAGATTAAGGCGGGCCGATGGTGTTACAAATTTCACCGTCGAATAGTTTTTAACAAAAATAGCTTTTGGTGTTTTAAGCTCTTATCAACACAATTTACATCTTTTAAGAGGCGGGGTTTTGGCCCTGCCAGTAAAATAAAACCTAGACTGAGAGGGATGAAACTTCCAAAAATTTTCTATCCTCTCGGGAATCGAACTCCAGTCTCCTTCATGCGACAGCCAAGCGCTTAGCCGCTACACCAAAATGAGTGGTTGTTGAATCAGCGAGAGAATCAGTAAGCTGTAAAAGGTATTCAGAATGTAAAAAAAAAAAGAAAGCAAAATACCAAGTCTTGCTGTTTCTTTCCTTTTTACCAGGTAATTACGGGATCAAAGGTAGCGAAAAGTTCAAAGACCTTGTAAAGGAACGAGGTGTGTGCATCGCTACAACAGACACGGTCGCGAGCTCGGCAGACGATGCAGCATTTGATGACGTGCTCAGCAATCTTTTAGAGCACCCAAATGCCACCGTGGTCGTCTGCTTCTGTGAGGGGAAGACTGTCATGAAGCTGTTCTTAGCCACGACGAGAAAGTCAATGACAGGCAGATTTCTCATTGTCGGGAGGTTGGTGTAGCTACATACGCAAATGGCTTTCTTAGAATTGAAAAGTTCTATTTGACATTTTTGGCTGTTATGAATTTGTAAGTCTATGAGGTCAGAAACCAAATTAATGCTCTATCTGGCTATCAAAATCGTAAGATTATTCGGAGTCGATATCAAGATTATATTCGATGGCTTGCATTCGGAAAGCTTGAAGTGTTGTGAAACTCAACATTTTTTAACGTCAAATTTATTAAAACTAGGCACTGAACAGACAGAACTTTGTAATTCTAAGGTTGCAAAATGTACAACAGAGAGAGGTGGCCCATGTAATCCCCCCCCCCCTCCTGAAAAAATGCCGGTTTTAATTATTGCAGATAGTGAGCCAGCTATAGAAACCTGTCCCACTCTCTTCCCACTAACTCTCTCTCTCTCTCTCTTTCTCTCTCTCTCTCTCTCTCTCTCTCTCTCTCTCTCTCTCTCGCGCGCGCGCGCGCTCTCTCTCTCTCTTTCTCTCTCTCTCTTTTTTTTCTCTCTCTCTCCTTCGCGTTCTCACTCTCTCACCCTCTCTCCTTCTCTACCTCTCTTCCCCGTCTCTCCTTTATTCTATGTATCACTACCCCATCCTCTCTCTCTTTCTATCCCTATACTATCCACTGTGTACTGTCCTTGGATTCACACACTGCAATACCATTTCTTTTTTCTTTTTCCTTGATTTCGAGCTGAAAAAAACCTCGTCAGTTTTCTCACCATTTATTTATAGGTTAATTATACTCACCCAGCTTTTAAGTTTTGCTGTAAATTGAGAGATTCAGAAATGTGAAAAATATATGCCAAAACCATGTGTGTGGCACTGAGAATTTTGATCAGGTCAGATGGGCTCGTGCAGTCTTTGTAGAATCTATCTTTATCAAACGAATATTCTATTATATGTATATGTGACCATAGCATACACAAACATGAATGGAGAGAGATTTCCCACTTTACTACTTCGACAAACCCGGAAGCTCCTTCTCTCTGTTTTTGAGAAAGAGCATATGTTATTTTCCTGACAAATTTTTAATCACTATCGTGTATACAAAAGTATTACATGGAAGACGCCGCTCCTCTAAAGAGATCAGTTTTTTTTCTATCTTTCATTGTACGGTGCTTTCTATCATTCACGACTCCCCCCCTATCTCTCCACCTCCTTAATCTATCCACCTCCTCAATATCCCCACCTGTCATTTGTAGGCGAATTCCAGGTTTAAAAAATCATAGATACAGGGTGCATAAAAGTAGAACCAAATTGAAAAAAAAGAGATAAATTCATAGACAGGAGAAAGAGGAGGCTAAAACAGCTCCTAGACACGGCTGGCTGGTGCCTCTGTAAATAATTTTTTGATGGTCAGGTCAGGAGCTCTCATTTATTCTTCACCAGTGACGGTTGGGGTAACCGCCGTGACGTCGTGGAGGGACAGGAGAATGCCGCTATCGGCGCCATTTCGTTCAAGCTCTACTCCCCGCCCCTGCCCGACTTCAAGGCTCACTACGACAACCTCCGGCCCTTCGGCTCCCCGCACAATCCCTGGCTCAACAGTTTCTGGGAGCAGCGGTTCCAGTGTTCCCTGAACAAGACAAGTCTTAGGGGATACAGAAGGTCGTGTGTCGGTGAGTGCTGCCAGTGTCGGTGTCGGTGTCGGTGTCGGTGTCCGTATTGATGTCGGTGTTGGTGAATGTCGTAGTGAGTGTATCGATGTCGGTGAGCACTGTCAGTGTCGGGAGTGTCTTGGTGAGTGTATCGATGTTAGTGAGTGTGATCTGTGTCGGTGCCGGTATTGGTGTTGATGAGCGTGTCGGTGAGTGTATTGGTGTCAGTCTCAATGAGTGTGTCGGTAAGTACTACCTGTGCCGGTGTTAGTGTCAATGAGTGTGTCGGTGAATACTACCTGTATCGGTGAGTGTGTCAGTGAGTGTGTCGGTGTTGAGGACAAAAGAGTTCTGGGGAAAGGCCTGTTTCGTAGTCCAAACGTATTGGCCAAAACAGTATTGGCTCAAGCAGTATTTGCTGAACCAGCATTATCTAAAACAGTACTAGCTAAAACAATATTTGCTAAAACAGTGTACTGCTGAAACAGTATTTGCTGAAACAGCATTTGCCCAAATAGTACTTTGCTAAAATAGTATTAGCCATTAGACGGTATTTGTTAAAACAATATCTTAAAGCACTAGCAAAAACGGTATTAACATTTGCTAAAACAGAATTTGCTTAACTTAAACAGTATTGACTAAAACAATTTATTGGCCAAAAACAGTATTAGCCAAACCAGTGATTTGCTAAAACAGTGTTTGCTAAATCAGTATTTGTGAAAACAGTATTCGCTAAACAGTATTGGGTAAACCAGCATTGAGGCAGACACTATTTATCCGGAGACTATTTTTCCCCCCGAGCCGTGCTGTATTATCCCGGGAAACTGGTCTTGCAGTGACGAGAGTCGGCTATACCAGCGGTAATTCGAGAGTCCCAGAATTGAGAATCAATGCTCGGCGCGCGGGAGTCCATTATGTAGCTTTCCTTCCTCACAGCGCACGAGAGCTCCGCTGTTAGCTCCGCGCTGTCTGAGGTCGGCTTCCTCTCTATTTTTTTTAAATGAGCGTATTTTTACGCCTCTATTGACATAATTTAGATCATTAAGGGAGTTGGCGTCTCATCCTTCCCTTTAGGGCCAACCCGGGCTGAAAGGGATACAATATCCAAGCAGAAAGGCTGAGATATTCGATAAAATTGTATGTCCATTTGGGAATCGAAGTAGGGTCTCCTGCGACGGACAACAAAGCATCTAACCGCTACAGTACATATGTCAGTAGAATACAGTTGAAACGTTGCTGAAAAAGGTTTTCGAGAACAATTAATTAAGCGTGAACTAAGTAGGCCTAACTGTAGGAAATGAATCACGAAGCTCAACAACGAACCAGGGTGCCACAGAAAGACGTGTGATGTGGTAGTGAGGCACTTCGCTATTTCATACAGGAGGCCCGAGTTCAATTCCCGAGTGGGGAGAAGTTTTATGAAGTGTCTGGGTCTTTCTGCTGGGATGCTTGTGTCTCTCTCGGCTCTGGTTGTTCCCGAGAGGCGGGGTCGAAAGCCTGCCTCCGAAATTATCATCTAAATTTTGTTGAGTGGGAGGGAGATGGGGGACACATACATTACTTTTTTTTAACAACAGAAAGGCACATATATTTCTATGCCGTGACAGATGCTCCATAATAAATGAATGTGAGGGTTCTATAATCAACAACACTGAACTGGAAACCACATGTCGTTCTCTTGGGCCTGCATTATTGCCGACAAAGACACAAAATTGTGCCCACGAGAGTAAGGCTGGTCCGACTCTGCGTTGAGTTGTTTAGAGAAAAGGGGATTTTTGTTGTAAAAAAATTAGATATGTGAACGACATCTGGGTTGCAACTGCGAGAGAACCGAAATAACCTCTAAAAAGTCAGACCTTTATTTGACTAAAAGATATGATATAGCTTTATTTCCTTGGTAGTGATAAGTCTGTTTTGAATAGAAGTGCAGATAAGCCACTCTTATTCTCAAGGGCACAAATAAGCCAACCAGAAAAAAGTACGGAAACTCCATAAAGGATTTCGCGTCTTTAAGTAGACCACCTGGAACATTGCCGCCACTTCTTCCTGGCTGAAAACAAGACAAGCAAGGCAGACAAATTTAAAGCTTCTGAAGAATCTTTCGTGGGACCAAAAGAACAAAGGAAAAGCAATTGCTTGATATCTCTGAGAGCCCCTCGATGTAATGCAATATTGATAACAGCCCAAGACTTTTCGTAAGAATGTATCTAATATAAGACACGAGTGTCTGTGGTGTAACGGTTTGGCGGGTCGCTGTCGCAGGCAGGAAACCCGAATTCGATTCCTCAATGGGGTAACATTTTTATCGAGCATGTCATACTTTCTGCTGGAAAGTGGTATCCTTCTCAGTTCGGGTTGGCCCTGGCCGGCAGAGTCCAGAGCCCGCATTTTATGAGACATGAATTGTATAGATGCTAGATTGGCATATCAAAACACTTACATTGATTTTTCTACCCCCCCCCCCCCCCCCACCCTCTCTCTCTCTCCCCCCCTCCACCGCCAAACAAAATTGAGATATTAATTACTTACCAGTAAAACAGTGACAGTTGTGTGGCATCGAAGTGAAATCAAACACTCATTCAAAATAAGAGAATCGAAAAAAAAAAATCAATTTTCCGCCAGTTGGGCAATTGATATTGACATTTTTGGGACTCAACATCTTTTTATGTCTATTTAAAACATTTGGGTGTGGATTTTACCGAAGAAAGTAGACCAAAGGCACAGAGATGTTACTTTTGCAGTTTCCAAAAGATCTAAATTGTGTCAATGGGGGCGTGAAACACCTACATTGAAACTGTAAAATCAAGATAGGCAAGTACACAAATGAATAATCATGATTCTAATAACTTCATATGCGTAAAACGAAATCGTATGGGAACCTTCCAGTAACAAGTAAAATTTGATCTCGTAATGTATAGAGTGACAAGTAAAAATATGTGATCACGTGATGTATCTACCAGTGGCAATTAAAATATGTGATCACGTGATGTATCTACCACTGATAAATAATACGTGATGATAAAATGAAGTGTCTTCCAGGGAAGCCCTTTGGTCAACGAAAAAAGAAGAGAAAACTTAACAAAGAAAATAAGACAAAAATCAAAATTCGACGCAAGGATCAAAAGAAATACAAGTGTCGTTCATTTATCAAGGAGAGCCAGGTTTTTGTCTTGGGGTCCCCGGCTGAGCCGCGCGCCGGCATACTCGGGGAGGAGCTTTTGTACGGGATATGAAGGAACGCTTCGATTGGCCGGGGAAAAGAATTGCACGATGAAGAGATTGTTCGCAGCAAATGACACTGGAATCTGAAAAAAAGTCGACATAAAAATGAATGAAGAGGCGAGAAGCGAAGCAAAAAACCAAATGAGCGTCCAAGGGAACCATTGATTAATTTGGAACTTTTGGGGGGCTTCCCGCACAATGGAGAACACTTCATACGTCATTGGCGATAAGAGAAACCAGCGGGCTCTAAGACGCTTTTGGGCTGACTAGCCAGAGGGCCAAAGCCCTATTATAGGACCTTCTAAATCGGATTTTAGCTAATCTGGCCGGGGTAAAAGAAAGTGTAAAGGAAGGACGGAGAGGTGTCGGTCTTAGATGAATGAAACTGGCGCTAGGGGAAATGAGGTTCCTGAGAGAAATCTAAGAGGGAGCATGCTGCTGGAAGCGTAGTTAAAAGAGAGAGAGGATTGTGAGAAGTAACGATTTGAGAATGATGCCTGAGTTGATCAGAGATAGCGCTGACATGTAGGACCAAGACACAGTTCAAAGTCACTTTGCTCTATAAATATGTGATAAAATGAGATGTTGATATTTGGAATGGCTCGTGATTTAGATGGCACTTCTAAAAATCATATAGAAGCTTTGAAGAAGATTTGACTCTTATGCCTAAGATAACGTTGCTTATACGGTAAAGAACGTTTGAATATACCCATTACACAATAAATTTCGCTTATATGACAAAAGAAGTTTGAACATTCATTACCCAATTTATTTATCTTATACGTTGAAGAAAGTTTGAGCATTCATTACACAATTTATTTCCCCTACACAATGAAAAAGATTTGTAAGCCCAATACACAATATAATTATTTTAACCCAGCCGACAACGCTGAGGCTTTATTTCGTAACAGCTGACAAATTATACGTATGACTATTGTGTTTCTATACTTATGATAAAGCAATGAAGGAAAAGAAACATGCCTAAATAATCAGTGAATAAAGGATAGACGAATCTAAGCAAAAATAGCAAAAACATGAAATCCAAAACTGAAGAAGTCAGCACGAAGATACGATGCTCAAATATAGATTGCACATTATGGGGGCGTTTTAACGGACACACAGGCCTTAAACAGATTGTCATAATTATAGAAGGAAGTTTAGAACAGATGGTCAGAACATATCAGAAGGCTTTATAGATAACTGAGGAGAAAAATCCTATAATAATAAAAGAAGACAATGGATCATCAGTTTGGAAAGAAAAAAGTACAAGTTGCCGGCACATTTTATGTCTCGTTAAAAAATGTATTTTTGTATGGGTTTTACAGAAAAAATATTGATCAGATGCGCAAATATAGTAAATTTGCAGTTTTCAAGGACACTCAAGCTTCGGAAGTCCCCAAACGTTGTCGTCCATTTTCTCGCTAATTTTACCTCCGACAACAGGCAACCCCTACCTCATTTAATCGCAAAATAATGTCTCAACTTCTATTCAAGATCGATGCGTATTTCTTTTTTCATTAAACGTTTTGCTACAGAACAGGCTTTAAGATAATACCAATCGACAAAAGCCCCATTCTACCGTGTTTTGCCTTTCTGATATTGTTCAGAGACCAAACAAACTAACCGAATAGCATAAGAGCCCCCCCCCCCCCCCCCCAAACCAGCACCAGTTTAAAATACGTCAATGGCACTGACAATTGCTGGTTCTGGTAAATTAAATATGATAGTGTTGGATAAAAAGAAATGTATAAATTAAACAAAAGGTTAAATCAGAACATGGCAACCATTTTTAAATTGAGACAAATGACATTTTCCCCTTGTACTCATTTGTTTTGTATCCCTCAGAGACAGTAGAAATTCGTTATTACAACTTTATATGCCACCCCAGGGAACGAGAGCCTGTCCGGGTCTATCGTGGACTCCAAGCTGGGCTTTGTCGTGAACGCCGTGACGACTATGGCGCGAGCCCTGCACAACATGCACGCGCACGTCTGCCCGGGCTTCCAGGGGCTGTGCCCGGCCATGGAGCCCATCAACGGGAGCGTCTTCCTGCAGTACCTGCTCAACGTCAGCTTCCGGGGCTACAGCGGCGAGATGGTTCACTTTGACAGCAAGGGGGATCCGCCGGGGCGGTGAGTGTGGTGGTTACACTGTCGTGTGACTGTATACTTGTCTCACGCGACTGGATAAATGTCTCACGTGACTGGATAAATGTCTCACATCTCACACCACTGAATAAATGTCTCATATGACTTGATAAATACCCCACATGACAGAATACATTTTCACGTGACTTGATAAATGTCTCACGTGATTGGATAAATGTCTCACGTGACTGGATAAATATCTCACATGACTGGATAAATGTCTCACGTGACAGGGCACACTAGGTTTTTTTTCCTTCTATTTTTTAACCCGTTATTGTTTTGTTTTTTCAAACCCATCGACACAATTTAGATAATTTAGGCTCAGAGGGATACAACATCCCTGAAAGGGGTACAAAATTACAGCTAAAAGACCGAGATACTCGATGAAAACTCTCCCCTCAATGGGAATCGAACTCGTGTCTCCTGTCTGTGACAGCAAAACGCCTAGCCGTTGCATCACGGACACCGGTGGATGAACTATCTGGCGACTGGGATTAGATACACTAATATGAGGCAGGATATGTTATTACGAGACGTAATATTATTGCAGCAATAGTGGTTTTTGTTTTTAAAGGTACATATTTTATTATTCAGATAAACACAGTTTATTATTTAAATTGTGTCAATGGGGCGTAAAAATCAACTTTTATTAAACAAAACCAAAAAAACAACAACAAACCCAAACTAAACCAAACACCCCCGCCCCTGCCCACCCAAAAAAAAACAACTAACAAAAAATAGACAACACCAACAAAAAACAAGAACAACCCCCCCCCCCCCACCAGCAAAATTGACACCTCAGGGACTTGACGTCGACTATTAACGTGGGTGGTTGGCAGGTGTTCTGGTGTGGTTTGCTCCTTCTCTTTTTCAAACATCTATCATTCTTATATCTCCTCTTTCTTTTCTCTTCGTGTTTCTTTCTAGTAACACCTCTAATCGTCGGCACTTATATGACCGTGCTTGTGTTGTAAGTTTCTGTAAAAATCTTACCAAAACGAGTCACTGTGAGTGACTTGCGTGTACTACAGGTATGAAATCCTCAACTACCAGCCCCGGCAGACCGCGGACGGAAACACCACTTACGAATACGTCACTATCGGCCACTGGATGACCGGAAGCCTGCGCCTGAACCGACATCCGGTGTACTGGCCTCGGGGTCGGCGGGACAGCGGGGGGTACGGAGGTCACATCCGGTCAGTGTGCAGCGAACCTTGCAGGTGGGGACAGGCGAAGGTGAGCATGCAACTGGGGACAGGTAAAGGTGAACACACGGCTTGGAGGTTGATGAGTGCTCTGTGTGTGATTTGTTTCTTCGTTCCTTTCTGACGTCGTCTATCCTCTTTATCTCTCCTTGTTTTCTTTGTATGTTACTCTCTATCCTATCAGACGTCTTCTTTCCTCTTTATCTCTCCTTGTTGTCTTTGCATGTTACTCTCTAGTAGCACCCCTAATCTTCGGCATTTATCTGACCTAATTGAGTTGCGTAACATTTTTATGAAAACTAAAACTAAAAAGTTGAACACAGGCGTAATAGAGATGTTATGGTCCATGCGTGTCATTGTTCTGACTAAGCATTTTCTTTTGTTAATATTTTGTATCTTGACAGACGATCTATTTTTGGGGTCTAAATTGAAGGTGCTTTTACGCCCGCACCAACACAATTTAGATCATTTAGGATTTAGTGACCCTCATATTATGAGTATCAGTGGCCTTCACATCGTGTGTGTGTGTGTGTGTGTGTGTGTGTGTGTGTGTGTGTGTGTGTGTGTGTGTGTGTGTGTGTGTGTGTGTGTGTGTGTGTGTGTATGTGTGTTTGTGTATGGTTGGCGAGTGTTCTTATGTACACAAGGTGATAAAAAAAACAACTTTACAATTTTTTTTCTGAATATCTCGCGCAAAAAATTGTTGTAGAGTGCTGTAATTTGGAACTGACATAATTCATTCAAAAGGAATGTGTTTGATATAAAATCCAAGAAGAAGAAATATATTTTGAAACCGAAAACGGCTTTAAAAAAAACACACCTAAAAACGCAAAGTTCACCACTGTTAAAAAATCTTGTAAAGGAAGTCGTGAAAAGATTAGTTGAGCTTTTTCTTTATTTTCTCTTTGACATTAATTTTCCATCCCTATGACATTTAAACAATATTTAAAGTCTTTTACAGAGTTTTAAAAACCTAATGATTTCATTCTGAAATTCCTAGAAGCAGTGCTCCACATTCCCTCCTTTGGACTCGATAAATTTTTAACGCGTCGCTCGAAATGTTCACTGGCGCCATAACACAAGGACCTGCTAAACCATGAGTTTTTAAAGCCACATACACTGTACATGTTCACTAAGAAATGGCTTCTAGAGACAATAGAGTGGGGGTGCCCAATAGACAGCATTTTTTAAAGTTAACATATCCTGCAGGGTGAAAATGGGCTTTGCACTAAACCAAATGTCATCGAAGAAATGATACCTCTTTACAAGACAATCGAAGAATCACATTGCTATGCTCAGATCCATGTCATCTCGGCCTAGCGAAGATGAACATGGTATAGTTGTAGGTTAACATATGCCATGAGAATGCAGACTGTTAATGTGTAGGAAAGTCCTAGTTGCAGATCGTCTACGGACAGACGTCTCATAGGACTCGGCTTCTGAAATCTGCACTCTGGTGACGTTTAAAGGGCTGCGCATGGTGTGTGTTCGACCCGACGTTGTCATTTTTTAAAGAACTTTTTAGTTCTGAATCGCCATGGATCCAAACTGGCGGAACTTCTCTACTCATGACGCCAAAGGTCTTGAGGGCACCTAAGCATTTTCTCCATGCCGTGCGCAGAACTTACGAAAGGTCAGGGATGGTGAGTTTGTGGAGAGGTAATGTTCAGTACAAAAAGCTCTCTGCTCTTTACTAAAGGTAACCATGATCCCAGCAGGCAAACAAAATTTGGAAAAATAATATCTGCAGACTTCTGTTGACTTGTTAGACTGCTGCAGCTTGCAATATGGCGCGATTGTTGCAACTTTTAGTGGAAGGCCTAATGCGAACTGGTGTGTCAAACTATGAAAATGGCGACAAAGTTGAAAATGGGTTGTTTTTTTAATGCGCTATATAGAGCAAAACCATTCAATGGACTTATCTTAAATACGTATCAGACAAATTCCTTTTGGCTTTCACATGTCAGGTTCAAATCTGAAACGCAAAACTTCAGTGTGGAGGAAGACATTTACTAAACAAGTTGTAAAGTTTTTTTGGGATCACCCTGTAGTTTGCTTCTTCTTTCCTATAAAAAAAAATCTATCATCCCTATCCTTTTCTTTGTACAGTACTCTCTAGTGACACCTCCAATCTTCAACACTTATATGATCTATGTGTTTTGCAAATGCCGTAAAACTCTTTTAAAAATTCTGAATATGAATCCCCCCCTCCCCCCAAAAAAAGACCAACCCATTGTGAATGAAAATGGAGTAATTTTCGTTAGGGTCAATGCCCTTCACTTTGTGACCTCCATATTCTTCTCAATAACCTTTACATTGTTACCTCCATATTATCAGTAACCCTCACATCCTGACCTCCATATAATCAGTGCCCTTCACCTTGTGACCTCCATATTGTCAGTGACCTTCACATTGTGAGTAAACTCCATGTTGTCCCTGACCTTGACCTTGTGATCGACCCTGCAGAAGGTGAAGGGCGCCGCCTGCTGCTGGATCTGTACCACGTGTCTGGAGAACGAGGTCCTGGTGGACAACAGCACAGATTGTCGCCCTTGTGACCGGGGCATGTGGCCGGACTTCAACAAAACAGGTGCTCATGGCTTTTTTTTTCTATTGATTTATTGCTCTTTTCAATGAAGGTAATTTTACGCCCTCTTCAACACAATTTTGATCCTTTAGGAGGCAGGCTTTTGATCCTGCCTGTTAGGGCCAACCCGTACTGAGAAGGACACGACATAATCTTAACAGAAAGACCTATATATTAAATAAAAATTTACCTTACTGGGGAATCAAATTCGGGTCACCGGCGTGTGTCAGCAACGTGCTAACTGCTACACCACCGACTGAATTTAGTCAGGTGTCATCTGTACCGCAAAGTTAATTAAGCAGTGTCCCTGATTATTTATTGTTGTTTCCCCTCTATTTGTTCCCTCTCACAGATTGTGAGGCCATTCCAATCGACTTCATCAGCTGGATGGACACTGGGGCTGTTATTTGCATAAGTCTGGCGGTCCTCGGGACTTGTGTAACAGGTTGGGAATACGTCTTGCCTTCTTTCTGTCTTTTAGAAATACAAGATCACTACATAGGAATTAAAATGTTTTATCTGATATTTTGGGTCATTTTGAATTACTAAGACCAAGAGGTCAGAAACCAAAATGCTCTATCTGCTCTATAAAAATCGTAAGATTATCCGGAGTGGTTATCAAGATATGAATAGAATGACATTCGAAAAAGCATGACATGTTGTGAAACTCAAAGGATTTGACGTAAAATTTCTCAAAACAAGGCACTGAACTGACTGAGCAGACAGAACTTTGTAACTCTAGGGTTGTGGACCAGCGAGGAGCGACTGCTATAGTTCCAGTTTGGTAAACGTTTTACGGTGCTGGCACCTGTATAAGGTCATATGAACGCGCCGGACGCAAGTTGGTTGTTTTCCCCTTAATTCATAGCGATGCTTGGTTTTACTTTGCAAAGACACCATGACTGTTTACAGAGAAGGAAGAAGAAAACAGTGAAAAAAGAACAGCAGTGCTGATCATTGTACCGACAGGAAGAAACTCTTACTAGTCGTGGGCCTCTTTCTCATATATTTTTTGCATTAATTGAAAATAGGCACACGTTAGCTTATCATTCTTTTAACGTTCAAGCTACACTCTTGTATTGAATACAAACAAGTTCAGAAATGAATGAAGATTCAATGTATGAGAATATAATAGTAGTTAGTGAAGACAAGCAAATATCTATGATCAATGAGGGAAATAAGAAAACAACAAAAACAACAACAACAACAACAACAACAACAAAGCACCCCCCAACAAAACAAAACAACAACAAACAAAGAAACAAAAAACAACAATATTGCATCAACGACTCAATAGACGTGCCGACTTCTAAGCGTTAATGGACTGTGTGTGGGGCGGAAATTCTTCTTCTATGAAATGCCAGCCATTAATAACCATTCTGGGAGGAGAATGGTTGACGTTTCCTTTGAAATATCGGATCTTTTTTTTCCTGCTTTTCCTTCCGAAGACTCACCCAAAGAAATCCGGGAAACTTACTTAGCCTCACTGACACTGACGCAACTTCCTCTTTGTTTAGATGAAACATAAATGTGATGTGTGCTAACAAAATGAGTTACTTCTCGCAATCCACAAATGGAGATATTGGCCGAAAATCGACACTAGGGTCAAATTTTGTAGATTTTCTATTGTTGCAATATTCTTAAAGTATAATAAGACTTTTGTTATTTCATACTAATAAATTGTAAAAACTTCACCTATTAGCGTGACATATATCTATTTCCATAGGTCTCGAATCTGAGAAGCAACTCATTTTGTCAGCATCCTTCACAAATGAGCTTTTGAGCATAGACACGATATCTGTTGACTGAAAGAGAAGTAAAAGTGATAGCTTTGGAGACCTAACACAATAGACATCTTAGAGTACCGATGGATTATATCTGGCGTTGAGTCTTGGACTTAAACAAAGAAAGAAGAAAACAAAATATCTGCGTTTGAGGTCTGGTGCTACTGCTGAATTGTCAGAATTAGCTGGAAAATAAATAGGACCAACAATGCGGTGTGTCAGATTTTCTATAAAAGACAAACCATGCTTAACAGAAAGAAAAGTAGAAAAATACAATACTTTGATCATGTAATAGACCACCAGACCATTATAAGGAGCATACTAATATTTTAAACGCAAGATGCAGGGCAAAAAGGCCGAGGGTGGACAACGAACAACATGGTCCGATAACATCAAGGTATAGCCTGGTCTAAGTATGACAGAGGGAGAGTATATGATGGTGGATAGCGGTCCTGAGCAATGGTGGATCATTACACATGAACCTCCGAGCAACAGATGGCACCTCCATGTTTCCAGGTATAGTCTTTCGGACATCTGGGACATCTACGGTTACGTGAAAATATCTTTAGAGAATTGTTTGCTAGGTACACAGGAGCAGAATCTGAAGGAAACAACGCTGTCAAGTACACTTAATCATTGGAATAATAGTTGAATGAGTGACATTGAAATAATGACGGCTGTATAAAGAAAACCAAAGACACACTTGTTCAATACAATCCTTTGTCGGTAAATTATGTACGTATGTAAGATTTTGTGTGTGTGTGTGTGTGTGTGTGTGTGTGTGTGTGTGTGTGTGTGTGTGTATGTGTGTGGGTTTGTGTACACGTGCATGCGTGGTGTTGTTGTTGTTGCTGTTGTTGTTATTATTAAATTGGTCTCACAATGTGCATTTTCTGTCCTTTGACTCATCAGTTAAATTACTTTTACGCTCATACTACTATTACTTATCATTATTATTGTCATCATTATTATCAAGATTACGATTACGATTATTATTTATTATTATTATTATTGTTTTGTTGTTATCATTATCATTATCAAAACAACAATAATAATAGTATAATATTAATAATAACAACAACAATCCTTATAATATTAATAACAAAAACAACAACTGCAAAAACAACAACAACATAATAATAATAATAATAATAATAATAATAATAATATTATAATAATAATAATTTTTATCTTCATCATCATCATCATCATCATCATCATCATCATCATCATCATCATCATCATCATCATCATCATCATCATCATTTTGTCAAACACCGCAACCATTTCTCTTGTCATATCTTCACTATCAACCTTTCCTGTCTTCCAAATAAATAAATCGCTTACGACGTGGTCTTTTTACTTACACTCCCACCAGGATGGATTTGCGCCATTTTCGTGCGCCACAACGACACCCCTGTGGTGAAGGCGTCCACGAGAGAGCTGAGCTACATCATCTTGGCCGGCATCAGCCTCGCCTTCAGCAGCAACTTCTTTATCCTAGCCAAACCCGCCACGGGATTCTGCTACCTCACAAGGTAACGTAAGAATTTAGCGTAGCTCAGAGCTTTGTAGGTAAATAAGTAGGTAGGTAGGTAGGTAGGTAGGTAGGAAGGTAGGTAGGTAGGTAGGTAGGTAAGTAGGTAGGTAAGTAGGTAAGTGGGTTGGTAGATGGGTGGGTGGGAGGGTAGATGGCCAAACCCGCCACGGGATTTTGCTACCTCACAAGGTGACATAAGACTTTAGTGTAGCTCAGAGTTTTATGGGTAGGTAGGCAGGTAGGTAGGTAGGTAGGTAGGTAGGTAGGTAGGTAGGTAGGTAGGTAGGTAGGTAGGTAGATAGGTAGATAAGTAGGTAGGTAGGTGGGTAGGTAGGTAGGTAGGTAGGTAGGTGGGTTGGTGAATGGGTGAGTGGGAGGATAGATGGCCAAACCCGCCACGGGATTCTGCTACCTCACAAGGTGACGTAAGACTTATGCGTAGCTCTGAGTTTTGTTAGAACAGAAGGGGGGAATCTTTCTGTTGTGGTAATAACCGTAATAGGGTAATAATTATTGCGCCAATAATCGTAATAATAAAAATCCTGAGTCGAGAATAGCGCTCATAATAATATATAACATCTGCCAAAAAAGTAGCTCAATGCGCTTTACATTGGAATACCCATTTTCAAAACCTTTCTTACTACTTCCTTTCTTCTCATGCAATATATATTTATGCACACACACACACACACACACACACACACACACACACACACACACACACACACACACACACACACACACACACTTTCCTTCAGACATAGGCCCAGAACAACTATAATTTTAAAAAATAACGTTTAAAGCTTATGGGGTAGGTAGGTAGGTAGATAGGTAGGTAGGTAGGTAGGTAGGTAGGTAGATAGGTAGGTCTGTGGGTTGATGGATGGGTGGGTATGTAGGTAGGTAGGTATGTAGGTAAGTAGGTAGGCAGGTAAGCAGGTATTCCGGTATTTCAATTTGCTTCATCACCAGTAGACGTTATCATCGCTCAGTCTTATATCAGCCCAGCGACACAATTTAGATAGAATAGTATTTCATTCAGGGCCATTGGCCTTCATCGCATAAAGCATACACATTTTACAGAAGAGACTTCCGTAAAAACAGCACAAACTATTATGTATGACACGCGTAATATCAAAACATTTAAAGAGTCGCATTTTTGTGTGCCTTTAATCAACTTTTTCAGTAAAACCACACCGAAATGTGTGTTTGATTGGACATAAATATTAATAGTGCTGATCCCAAAATGAAAACTAATCGATAAGATGAAATCAAAGGATGGTGTTTAACCCCCCCC